ATTGCAAATTTCGTAGTATGGATTTCACTTTTTTTTGGTGTGGTACACATAGCAATGTTGTTTCAACAACTTGTCAACAGGATGTGTTCGCACTGCTTGTTCCCAGCTTGTTGACAAGTTGTCAACGGCTTGTTGTCAACTTGCTACAAGGTTGTTGTTGAGCTCAACAGACAATGTAGGAAAATTTCGTGCGAAGATATTTTGTTCAAAATTTCTTGGCAGCGGTGCTGCTGGACATTTTTCAGCACTGGTATAGTGAAAGTCAAATCTGAACCTCGCTAATAAAGCAATCTTTACCTTCTCGTCTTAGCCTCCGTTCTTCAAGTTTCATCTTCACAAGTCTCGCCTGTCTCTCCTGCTCGCTCAACGCTTGCCATTCAGCAGCTCCCATCTCTTTCATCAAAGCCTCAGACAGCAGTTTATCTCGTAGTGTGTCGTACTTCGAGTCTAGAGCATCAAGTAATTGCCCTTCGCCAACACTCGTAATCTGTTCGGGAGTTCCGAACACTGTCATGAGGTTAGTTCGGACGTCCGATCCAGCTTCGGCAAGCAATCGGGTTTGTAATGTTACTAGTTCTTCCTTGCCCTAAGATCAAAATAGAGCGATCCAGTATACATGCATATATATGGTTAGTTTAATTACGGTTTGCTCCTGTAGTAACACTGCTTCTCAATTGAACTCTGTAGAGAGAATGCTTGGACACAACTGATAGACCAATGCAGTATGAATAAAGTTATTTTAGTTCAAGCTGTAGTTTTGTAAAGGCCGATTTAAAGCTGGTTTACACTATCAAAGTTTCTGTGATCACAGTAGGAATTTTGCATGGGTAAATTCTAAGTTTTGAAGGATTTGTAAGAAATGTTTGAGGAAACTTAATGAGTGTTATAAAGTCTGGTTTACACTATCAAAGTTTCTGTGATCACAGTAGGAATTTTGCATGGGTAAATTCTAAGTTTTGAAGGATTTGTAAGAAATGTTTGAGGAAACTTACTGAGTGTTATAAAGGATGGTTTACACTATCAAAGTTTCTGTGATCACAGTAGGAATTTTGCATAGGTAAATTCTAAGTTTTGAAGGATTTGTAAGAAATGTTTGAGGAAACTTACTGAGTGTTATAAAGGATGGTTTACACTATCAAAGTTTCTGTGATCACAGTAGGAATTTTGCATAGGTAAATTCTAAGTTTTGAAGGATTTGTAAGAAATGTTTTTTGAGGGCACAAACTCAGTATTTAACTCTGAGTCAGTTCCCTCAAATGTGTCTACAAATCTTTCAAACTGACGTAGAATTAAAATATGGAAAACTCTTGCTGTGATGACATAAAATTTGGTGTGTAAACCAGCCTTAAGAAATAATGATAATTCACGTGCTGTTTGACGTCGAACACTATGCGTGGTCCTGGGAACAAAAATAGATAGACTTTATTTAAAAACTTTATTTATTTAGATGGCCTGATATGACGTGTAACCCGGCTACTACTGTTTCCAAAACATACGAAATTTCGGCACATTCCTTGCCAAGATGGTGGAAATTGAAAAAGCCAAAGGACATCAGTTCCAGTCCCTTACTATTGTTTTTGTCTGCGCGGTTAACACGAAGCTGGCTTCACTCGAGTTCTCACTCCAGTGTACATAGAGCTCAGTGCTTGTTTCTCTCCCAACTCCCATGTCGACAAACCTTGTATGGTTTCATAAAATCCTTCCCATAATTCTTAGCGAGATACTCAGGCACCTTATTTGCACAGTTGGTAGACATTCCAAGAAACTTGCATGGCATGACGGGTAAGATGACGTCACGTGCATACGTGATGCGCTCGTACTCGTCGAACAAAGTGGAGTCGTTATCCGCCAGCACAAATATATCCAAAAAAGAATGGCTGCCTAACAACACGCGGGCGTGCGGGTCTAAGATAGAACAAGGGTCGATGCGGTGGCTGACGAAGTTTCCCTTACAATCACGGCGGGGTGTGCCTGACTTGGAGTGGGGGGAGGACCTCTGGATTATTAGGTGGGGTTTTCCATCATCGTAATTAAAAGGCCTTTGCGCTTCTTCTGGGTCCAACTTTGGGAAATCTTTTCTACAAAAATGGATAAAGTATTTATAAAGCATGTCATTCTATGTAGACACTACAGATGCAATAGACCTAAGCCATAATGACGTCACAAGGCTTGATCCCCGCGAGGAATGCTGGTCTTAGTAGTCACCGCCCAGGAAAATTAAACAATTCAAAATGGTCACTATTGAAATTTTCCCGGACGTCGACTACTATGACCAGCATTCCTCGCGGGCATCAAGCCTTGTGACGTCATTATGAAAAGTCTATTGAAATGTAGTATTTTTGTCTTCTAAAGTCTTATATATTCAGACTTGAACACTCATCAGAACGTCTGAAAATTCAGTCTCAATCCTAATATTTCTATTCTCTACTTTCCTTACCTGAAAATACAGACATCCATATCATGATCATACGGTATGGGCTGTCCATGTAACCAAATACCCAGCAGTGATCCAAAACATATGAAATAATCTTTAATGTTTCTTCTGGCAGCGACATCTACCCAATATTCCATTAAAGTTGGGAAACCTTTTTGTCCATGGTTAATCTTGCATCCGACACCATATATCTGTCTGACGCTTTCTGTTGTGTGTGTGGTAAAACTTATTCTGTTCTCTGCAGACTTGGTTGGAATCTTTGTTGTTTTCATGGACTGAGTGTTCGACGGTTTAGTGGAGGGGAAAATAATTCTGTCTCTTATATTCGAGGTGTTTTTTCGCCCACTCTGTTTTGGTGTGGTAGCAAAGCAATTTAATAATCCTTTCTCTGTACATCTCGTATTTTCGGCCACTTTTCCACTCGGCGTATGAAGTGATAAATAAATTAAACAAACGAACACACTGAGAAGAACAGTGATTTTAGCAACAATCGTTCTACCCATAGTTCGCAGTCGCGCCAAAAAGTGGATCAGTTCATTTTATCACTAGATAGGAACAATTCCTCTCACCTTTACAAAGTTTCTTAAACGTTCCCAATGTTTGTGTGTTAGTGACGTCCATGTGTTTTTTAAATATTACACAACTTGTTGTGTTTGTTCAAAATTTCATTATAGCTTTTGGTGTTAAAGGGAACTGCTTTTATAACGAATATAAATATTAACAGAGAACATTAGCTTCGGTATACGGTTGTTTAAATGAACAATGCCACGTGTTTATTATGTTATGCATGAAAATGTGAAACTCGAGGACAGTCTTTGTCTAGAAACAGGTAGTATTTAAAGGGAAACCAGACACAGTTTGAGAAAGGTTTGTGCTTTTATCCTAAGTTGTAAATTTCATTAAATGTGTGATCCCATTCCAAAGGGCAATGTTTTTGAATTCGTTTTCATGCTGTGTAAACATTGGTTGTGTTGGTTATATTCATTTAAATATTTTTGCAAATTTTTTTACTAAAATATTAAAATTAAATTAAATTTTTTCAAAATATTTAATATCGAATTTTCTCTTATTTAAACGCAAGCTGTTTAGACAATATATTGTAGTCTTTTAACCTCATGATGGAGTAAACTCGGAAACGTCGTTTTTAATAAAAAATGTTAATGCCTTGTTCTTGATCATTAATAACACAAAACAAATTTACATTTTCATATTATAGTGACATATATAAATGAATAAAAACGTGATGCAACTCTGGTTAATACTGCTGTGCGTTCGCGATGTAGTTGTGGTTCGGCAGCGTTTTGCGCGGTTTGTTGATATTCTGTTGCGGTTAAGCTATAGTTCGGTTGCGCTGAAGCTGCATGCGCTTTAGTTACGATTCAGCTGAGGTGATCTATTGGCGTTGACCCAAAGATCAACTGCACATTTACACCACGGTCTTTATTAGGTTATATCGTGAGCGGTACTGCGCATGTAAAGCCGGATACCGAAAACGTATTCAAATATTACAACCGTATACGTAACATATTTCCCTTTTATAAATAATATCAACAACTCCAATATATTATGTACTACTATATGTGTCAATGTTTCTCCTAAATAAAACTTTCCCATAAAAATATTGAACATCGCTTAAATACCGGTACGACTACTTTGAATATCAAAAAATTAGAACAATCCTACCATGAGTGGTCCAGAATCTTTAAGGTTGAGACCGCCGATAAAGTACTTCTGTTAGATCAGAAATTAACTCCAATGTCACTTTCTTTAACTAGAATAGACAGTAAAGGATAAATACATTTTACATCAGTTAGAAAAGTATGTCGTTGAGCAAGCATTTAACAGTTGCTAGAACAGTCATCCCTTGTAAAATAAAGTAACATATTAATCTTACATATACATTAGCATTATATTATTATTAAAAGTTCATCTCTAACCTCCCCTTTGGATAAATCTGCATATTCTTGAAGCTTTCTGATTGAAACCTAAAAACGCAAAATACACTTTTTGTATACCCTGGCACGTCAGTTGGAAAATTTTCCGCCGCGTCTAATTCTTCGCATCTCTCGGTCAGGTTACCAAGCCTGGCTCGCGGACATAAAAGTCACTATGCATGTGTATAAGAGTGAGGGCCCTCACTCTCACCTGGAGATCTTTCTTCAGGTTTTTTTTTTTGGGGGGGGGGGGGCTTACCTCCACAAAATTAACCTACAATTTCCGTTACCCAAATTTGAAATTGAAGAACATCTTCAAGAGATCGAATAATGAAAGTACGATTGTGAAAAGTAAAATATGTTCATAAGAAATCTTCAGATTGATAGGGATACAACTAGCTGAAAAATACAAGGAGGACTTCGACGTTTTGAGTGAAGACCCAACATCGCGAAGTTAGTAAGGTCTTTGATAAAGAGCCTTCGCTCGAAACGTCGAAGTTCTCCTTGTATTTTTCAGGTAGTTGTATCCCTATCAATCTGAAGCTTTCTTATTTTTGCCATTGCCTACACTGACAGGCAGTTCAATATTAAAAATGTTCATACCATCTCCATAAGTTCATGTCCAAGCGAAGGATTGTCCGGTTCCGTTATCAACGACTGAATACAACTACAAGGAAATTATTTAAACATATCTATGAAATGGAAAAACACGAGCATCTGACCTTTAGCGGCACTGCCCTTTAACACCAAGTTAATTTAAGCCAGGATATTTACTTTGGTTGAGGTATCTCCCATGCGGCTTCAAAACTCATTGTATCTTAATTCCTTGTGTTTCAAAACTCATGTAAAAAGAGTTGTGGTTGCTTCTCCCCTGACCTTCGAGGAGTTTTTCTTTGGGTCCTCCGACTTTTCCTTCACAAAAAAACTTATTTGTGTACCATGCCTCTGGATGAGGTAGATTGGGCATGAACACACATATTGAATTATACCGCAGAAGTGAAAATGTGAAACGTACTTGATACAAGATAAGCGCAAATCAGCATCGGTTTCATCTAAGGTAAAAAATCACGATCAATGTTATCCTAAAAACACCTTACAGAACAGTTGAAATACTAGGTGGTAACAATTTTTTCTTGCATGAACGAACCTTTCAATAGATAGGCAAGCGTTGTCATGAGACCTTTCTTTGAGGTCAGATATTTCAAACCCATCTTGTTGATGCTACAATATCATAGATACAAGTATTGACAAGTTTATTTGCGTGAGAAAAGATAAATTTTAAAGCGAGCTAAGCATTGTTAGATAATGTAACGTACAGAGCGTGGTCTTTGACGTAAACTATATGTTCTACAAAGCTTATGAATGAATGATTGAATGAATCGGAACAAATTTATTTGAAGATGGTAAAAACACACGACTGCAATATAACTGAAAAACCTGTGGCCCTCATTATGATGGTGAAGTTAGGTCTTTTCAGTTACTTAGGTTATGAATAAATGGTGACTTTTGCCAGAAGCGATCTGGTACATGAGAGTACAATTCCAGGCAGAAACCTGAGCTCTAAATGGCTACACTGTAAACTTTGAAGAGTTTTGCATAATTTGCATATTCATTGTTGTTCACCTAACATTATAACAATTAGCTTTCAACATAAGGCTTTTACAAATACAGCTGTTAAGGCTAGTTTACACTATCAAAGTTTCTGTGATTACACTACAGTAAGAATTTTGCATGGGTAAATTGACCATTTGCGTAATAGAGTAAATTTTGATCTAAACAAGTCTAGACAAACATTTCATCACAGCTTGAAAGAGCATCACAAAATTAGTAATATTCCAAAGTTTCGTTGCGAAATGTTGTAAAATGTGGAAAATATAGCCTTGCGAAGTTTGCAATTTTCAGTCATTTTAGATTACAAACGGAAAATTGACAGCCTCAGAGGGTTTGGGGCTGTCAATTTCCCATTTGTAATCTAAAATGACTGAAAATGGCAAATTTCACAAGGCTATATTTTCCGCATTTTACAACATTTCGCAACGAAACTTTGGAATATTACTAATTTTGTGATGCTCTTTCAAGCTGTGATGAAATTTCTGTTGAGATCAAAATTTAGTCTATTACGCAAATGGTCAATTAGCAGGAAATTACGTTTTCATGGCTAAAATGCCTTGTCATCTCAGAGTTCAATGATACGGCAACATGTCGTTTCCGTTAATACATAGGCACTCAAAAAAACAAACAAGAGGACACTCCTGGTTACATTATACTTTCAACTCTTAACTCCGAAGACTATTTTCCATATAGGAATGGCAAAGAATGATCTTGTTCTTAGCATATACCAAATTGTTTGCATTTGGTTTCTATAACGATACGTCAGCCGGCCTTGCGAGTGACATGACACTACACATAATTTGACATAATTGCATAGGAGGCCCAATAGTTAGTGGAAAGAAGCACAAAAATGACTTAAAATAGTTTAAAATTCAATAAAATTTCATTGTGTTACCGTGAAAATATTCTACCGACTGTTTTTCAAAAACAGTTGCATGGTAGAATATTTGCACTTGGTAGAATATTTTCACGGTAACACAGTGAAATTTTATTGAATTTTAAACTATTTTAGTCAATTTTGTGCCTATTACCACTAACTATTGGGCCTCCTATGATAATTGTTTGACTTCCGCCATTTTGGATGGCAAATGTTTAGTAGAGCTAAATAAAAACATACACAGCGTCCATTACTCATTAGCCATCAAAATTTCACAGCTCTACTTCAGTAGAGCTCCAGTTTATGGCGTTTATTTACCTTGCTTATATAATACGAATTCAGAACAGCAATTTTTTGGCAATTCAGACAGTGGTTTCATTCGCTGTCCGTTATACTGTATTTGCCACACAAAATCGAGTGATTCTCACCATGACGTAATATTCTTGTGTGACTGCAAGATCTATATATAGTATATCTCACTTCGTTTTTTTAAGAAAATCACACTAAAACTTCATGATCAATATTAATGGGGCATTTGTCATCAAAATTTTTATTTTTTTTAAACGAAAATGCTCGACCATGTGACGTCATTTACTCGATTACATATATAATGAGATATCAGTAATTGCTGTGAATCTTTGCTATTTTTGATGGATTTGTTTAAAAAAAACAGTATGCTTAATGATGTAGGTTAAATTAACAAACGTACCGCATCTTTCGAAAGATTTTGATAAAAAATAGCAAAGATACAAAACAATTACTGATATCTCATTATATATGTAATTGAGTAAATGACGTCACATGGTTACAAACAAAATGAAATATCTCAAGAGCTAAGCATGGGAACAAAAATCTTCAAAGAAGTTATTATACAGTTTTAAGAGCATTTTCGTTTACGAAGATAAAAATTTTGATGACTGTGGGTTTTATCTTCTAGACTCGAGATATACGCCTTATTGAAAACAAGACACGAAATTCAAGCGATAGATTTCGACTTAGGCGATTGTTTTTTTCTCTAAACATTCAGTTGAAATGAAAGTGTCTGCTGTGGTAAAGGACTTTAATTTACTGTAATTTTCAGACGAATCAAAAGCATATATTATGAATTTTAAAATCTTTAAAAGTACTTTTAAATCTTCAAGGGAATAAGGGTAAAAGGTGTTCACCAGAATTGGTTCAAAAATTCAAATATCAATCCTGGTGGCCAGAATACCGACTTTCGTTTCCTTTTAAGATTATAGTAAAAAAATTTCGCCTAGAAAAAGTTTTTTATGAGCTCGAGATTAAAATAGAAACGTTGTATTATATTAACCATCTGGAAAATTATGTCAAATAATATGATTATTCATTGTAACATCAGAAAGAAACATAATCAATGCTATTTAATCATTATGCTCACAAGGAAATACATTTTATTATAAAACTTGACATAATTTGTTACTTTAATCCATAATCAGTACTTATATTTGTCATTATCATTGATTAATGGCTTATCCGTTAAATCAATATTAATACGCCAAGCTCTCCTTTGTCAGAACGTTAACGATATGAGTTTTCTGTTATTTTAAACATTTTTCTACCGGGTGGCGCAAAAAAAAGTTCAGGCGTTTGCTTTACTATAGTGAAAAAACTATAAGAGCT